GGGGGGGATCTCAGTGAAAAGCAAAGGGCATGCATGACATGACTTCACACCCATGGCACCAATTTGAACGCGTTGGCGGCCATTTTGGTTTGGTTTGAAGAGGTGAAAGTGCAGGGAGCTCTGTGTGTGAGTCAGTGGGATTGTGTCTGTGTGTGTGCGTCTTTAGGTCTTTCTGTGTGTGTGATTGTATGTGACTGTGTGTGTCTGTGTGAGCGTCTGTGTGTGGATGTGTGTGTGAGAGTACAAGTGTGATTGTGTGGGTGTGTGTGTCTTTGAGAGTGTGTGTGTCTATGAGAATTTGTGTCTGTGTGAGCGTATCTGTGTATGTGTCTTTTTGTGTCTGTTTATGTTTGTGTTTATAACCGCTCCACCCACGCACCCTCTAAATAGAGAGTAGTGGTTTATATCTAGATCTATGGTGAAAACCTCTCTCTTGTTCTTTTGTTTGCTCTTTGTCAACTGAAAAGTACATTTCAACCCCCATTCTAAATATTTAATACATTTACAAGCGACTTTTTCGCACGACGTTACGGCAGCCTTCAACTTCAAGAGAGCTGAGACCCTACTGAATGTGCGAACTCAAGTAAGTCCAGGGAGGGGGAGGGGTGAGGGATGAGCTCAAGCATGAAGCATTGCTATGAGAGCCCTTCCCAGAACGCAACCTCGCCTCCGCCCCCTCATGACTTCCTCTTCCTCTCTCTCTCTGTTGTAAACAATGGCTACTGGCAACACCGACGCCAAGCAAGTCTTGGCGACTTACTGCGAGTCGTTGCTCGGTGAAATCCGAAAACAGAAGCAAAATACGGGTGGTATGTGCTGATATTGACACATTCTGTATAAGATTTCTTGTGTGGACTTGATATTTGTGAACCCTCTTTCGGGAGAATTTCCACATAGCCTAGTCCAGTCGTCATAGTTCATGCTGTACTGCCAGAGTACACTGTGTAGCGTTGCTACTCGACTATAACAATAACATGCGGCTAAACGTAGAACGACGCACCTGCCTGATTGATTGGCTGCTAATTTTAGTAATGTGATGTCATCACATCCTGGCCGCTGATATGCTAAAGAATCTCTAGATCTACTACACTACACGCTACACGGTCTTTGGCTTTGGGCTTGGGGATACCGCATGGAACGACATGTTGGGTCAGTTGTTTGACCTATTCATCTATTATCCATATCATTATCAATGTGTTTCGCACTGTAAAATTTCACAATTGCGGCTAACTGCAGCACCATGGGGGAACGTTTTCCGGCATATATACCGAAATCATGGCTTTTGAAAATAAGCTTTCCAACTTTTCCAGTTGGCCACCTCTGTTCTCACCCGGAGTGAAAATAGTGCAGGCGAGTCTTTTGGCTATTCTCACCCGGTGCGCGTTCACCATTATAGCCTAGATCTAGGCCAACAAATTTTGCGTTCACCCTAAACCACAGAATTTTACTCTGTGATAACAGAAAAATTGTAGAATTCTGTGCCGTGAACAAATGTTCCATTACAACTGTAGCCTACTAAAAGCGTACAATTTTGTCTGTGGGCAGTGGAGAGAGAGAGAGAAAGAGAGAGAGAGAGGAGTAGCGCGAGAACTTCCGGTCAAAACAAAATGGTGACCCGTGTAGTTCGGCTCGATTCGAAAAGTTAAATAGCCGTGGCATCTTTGTAGACAACCAAATTAATTTACTTTTGTGTTTTAACATCATTTTTAAACTTTGTTTTGGTCAATTTGATCATCCACACCGATAGACTGTATTCAGAAAGAGACAAAGAGAGAGAGAGAGAGGGGAGGAGTAGATCTTGCGAGAACTTCCGGGCAAAACAAAATGGCGACCCGCGTAGTTCAGCTCGATTCGAACAGTGAAATAGCCATAGCATCTTTGAAGACGATCAAATTAGCTTACTTTTGTGCTATAACGTAATTTTTTCTTGGCTTTTATCAATTTGATCATCCACACCTATAGACAGTATTCCAAAATGGGGGGCTCTCGTGGCCTAGAGGTTAAGGTGTTGGCCTCTCATTCAAAAGGTCCCGGGTTCGAATCCGGGTAGTGACCGAAAAATTTTCTTCTCTAAAATTGTCTCCTTTCACCTCCTTTCCTGCTCTCTAGCAATATTCTGTCGTCTGCTTTCGTCTCCTCTTTCTGCCCCCACCCCCTCACCTCCTTTGCCCCCTCCTCTGGGCTCCTGACTCTTTCTGCAGCCTTTCTACTGCTACTCCTTGACTCCTTCTTACAGCTGTCTTTCTGCCACACCCCTGATCTTCTGGTAGGAAAGATCTACACCTAGCCTTCTCGGACAAGGGCGAAAAATCTCGGAGGGCCCGTGTGCAAGTTGCGCACGCTAAAGATCCCTTGGTGGTCTAAAATCGATAAGAATAAGAGTAGGCTTCGGCCACCACCCGGGCAAAATTCAAAATTTCCTACCAACTGAAAATATTAGGTGTGTCCCGCGCGCTCATATGACCTATGCAGTTGCGAGCGCCGTAAAACACTTTACAAAAACAATTCCAAAATGAGGAAAAGCAGGTCTTGTTTCTCACCGGGTGAGAATAGCCTACGCTGGCAAGTCTCACCCGGGGTGAGAGGTAGATCGTTTTTCTATTCTCACCCCGGATGAGAATAGCCACTTCCTTTCCAGTTTGGGACAAATTGTCGACTTCATAAAAATTTCGGAAGTAGCCATTCTCCCATTCCACAGTTTCTGGCTCTTTTCATTTAGTTAGGTTGCTGGTCTTTCTACTGTCTCAGCTTGCCTACTGGCCAAAATGAGCGTTACCCGCCCTCTGAAATAACCCAATTAGATCTATGTCACGGTAAACATTACAACCTCGATGGCAAGACCACTCTGTGATTTGCCCTGGTTTAGCCGTACTTTACAAATTGTGGTTGGTTTTGTCATCTTTGGCTCATGTTTGTGGGTCGTTTGGACAAGTAAGCATGTCGCGGTCAAACTTTAAGGAGTGATTTTGTCAACAACAACAACAGAAAAAAAAGGAAATTCATTCTGTCATTTAATTATATTTATAAATGTAGATATGACGCACACAGATAATAGATGTAGCAAACAGAATTAATTTGAGGTCCCGAATTTTGTCTTGAACTTGAAGTTGAAGGCCTATATTATTCTAACACACACAAAGACTTGACAATTCGTGCATAGCGAAGGAAAAAATCGGTGACATCGATGGTAGATCTAATTACATGAAGGCCTATAGATGGCGGCACATTTCGTTTTACTGATGTAGCCGTGGAGAGAGAGAGAGAGAGAGAGCGCACATTAGGAGGAGTGAAGGCGTATGACCTCTCAATGTTTGTCACACTCTTGTGACCCGCTATTTCCGGGATGCCTTGATAGTCAAAGCAGACTTTGTGCTGCTTAAAAGCAAGAGAGGTGAGCAGAGTAAGTCTGATTCCCTTAAATGACTTCTCTGTTGACATCCACCCCTTGGTGTCATATGACCATATGCAGTTGCGAGCGCTGCAAAACCCCTACAAAAAAACCCAAAAAAAGTTAACCAGATTTCTCTCTGTTTTGCCCTAATTTTGTCTGTGATCCATTACTGTTTGTTGTTGTTTCCAGATGACAATGAGAAGGACATTGTGCTGTCTCTCTATGAATACAAGTGTCAGTCCCTGTGGGAGGAGATCAACAGCTGTGACAACAGTGCCCTTGCTCAAGAGTCCAATGTTGTGAAATACCTTCAGAATATTGCTCGGGTTAGCATGAAATGTTTACAATTTGATAATTTTTCGTTATATGATCCGATCATTCCGGTATGTCTTTTTACCAAAGCTCACCGAAACTAACTGAAACTCATCGAAACTCACAGAAACTAACTGAAACTCATTGAAACTCACAGAAACTAACTGAAACTCATTGAAACTCACCGAAACTTACTGAAACTCATCGAAACTCATCGAAACTCATCAAAACTGACCAAAACACCAAAACAACGCTAGCTAAGATTATTTAAATGTTCTTTTAATAAACATTGTCAAAATTCTCAAAAATGACAACACGAAACGTAGCGCTTTCAGTACTTTTAATTTAGTATGGTACTTGACTTAATCTCATTTTCGAATCATAGAAGTAGGAGGAACATTCATATTTATCTTTAAGATAAATGTTATTAAGGGGAGGAGCGACCCTTGATTTTGCAGATTTTGAGTCAGGCTATGCACATTGAGATGTTGGCTGATTTTTGAAGATCAACCAGTTCTTTGTTTAAAAATAGTATAGAAACAACTGAGAAAGTCTTTTTTCTCCTTCTGAATTGCCTTTGAACACATTAGGGTGGGTTAATATTGTGAATTTTCACAATTATTGTCGTTTTTCGCAAAATGTTTTTTTTTTGGCGTTTTTTTCCCTACTCCTTCCTTGGTTTCCATCCTTTTGACTTGAAACTTTCAGGACACATAGATGGCAAGGCTGCCATTAATGTAACAGAGAGATATTTGCGAAAAAAAATACACTTTTCCATTGGCAAGCGATTATGCAACCGAAATTTAGAAAAGGGTTTTTACACTTTGGGAAAATTCTCTGTTTTTTTTCTTTTGCACTTATTGAAAAAAAACTCACTGTTGTTACACTGATACGGTCTCGTTCAGGTATACCCTCACCAAATTTGGTCCGTAAATAAGAAAGCCGTAAGGATTTGAAATTTGTTGTTTATTTTCAAGATGGCTGCCGTTTCCATAGCAACCACTGCAGTTATTCCAAAATAAAAATGCGTATCCAAAGATTTTACTATGCCTAACTTATATGTGTACTTAGATTTGATCTCGGGCAATGAACATAGAAAATGGTCCTCAAGGGTCGCTCCTCCCGTTAAGAAGAGGAAGAAGAGGAAGAAGAAGAAGAAAGTGAGATAGAATGCTTATTAATAAGGATAGAACACCCCCCCCCCAAAAAAAAATAAAAAAATAAAAAAAAATAAATAAATATCATCCAACGTAAAATAAAAGAGAAAAAAGAAATGTAGAAGAGACAGACATGTAATATATAAAACAATATTTTGTCTGCAAACTTCAAGGTCTACTTTTTTTTTACAGCTTGTTTTGGATTCGACATACTTGGAAGAATGCACTCTTGTCAATGAGGAGTTCTCAACTCCAACAACTTGGACTACAATCAAGGAGATTGCAGGTACTGTTTTAACCAACTGTGGCTCTTTCATGATAAGGTCAAAGTGAATTCAAAATAGACTGAAAGATGGGCCTGTGTTTGTGGCTTGTCATATCGAACTCAGTTGAACCTTCTCAATATTTTGAATTGTCAATACCACATTGTTTAGATGTAAAAATGAATTTTGTTTTCTACATGTTTATCCTTTTTGTCCCCTATTATCTGAAAGCATAGTCTGTGTCAATGCCTCTACTTGTCATATTTTGTTAATATGGTGTGTCCCTCCTCTCTGTATTGGTGTTTGTTTAAATCAGTTTCTGGCAAAATGTAGATTGCTGCTACCTTGCGCTGACTCATTATGAACTGTAACTCAACTCAGCTCTGCTTTATCTTTTTTTTAGACTTAATCTTTCTGATGATATAATCTTAAGTTTAAAATTGTGCCAAGATTTCTACACACAGATTCTGTTTGCATTTGATGTTGGATTTTATTCTTAGTCTATAATGGTGGATGGTTGGCGGGTGCTCTGGTGTGGTTTGTTTCTTCTTTCCTATGAAACATCTATCATCCTTATCTCCCCTACTTCTTTTTTATGTTTGTTACTGTCTTGTAACACCTCTAATCTTCTGGCGCTCATATGACCTGATGCAGTTGCAAATGCTGTAAAACCTCTACTAAAACTAAACTAAGTCTATAATGTGAAACTTTGAATTATGAAACCTGTTATTGCAGAAAGCACTTATCATAACTCTCAAATTTCATGATTTGAAATATTGATTCTATTTTGTTTGTAGAAGACTAAGACCCCCTTTACCTTTTTCTGGTATTTAGTAATAGTTTCCTATTTGTTCATCCCCGTGTTGGCATGTCTTGCAGCCTATCAGAATGAAAATATGTGTCAGAAATTACAACTGTACTGGCTTGTTTTCACGAGAAACTTTTCTTATTGCTTGAACATATGAAAAGTTTTGGTTATGTGTATGTTAATTTTTAGAAAAAATAACATTCAAGGGTAATATAGTTTTATTTTGAAATTGAAATTAACATTCGAGGTTAATCAAGTTTTACACTAAGAGGTCTAGTCATCCACTAAAAGCATTATGGTTTCATCAAAGCTGGAGAATTTCAATTGTGTATGTTCTTGGGAATCAAAATTATTATAGACTAATTGATGTTTAGAAAACCCTCTCCCCAAATTTTTGCTGATTGTTTAGGTTTTCTATGAAGATTTTGTTGTTATAGGTCCTGCCTTCTTATTTTCGTTTGGAATTGTTTCTTGTCTCTCTGGTTGAATCGAAATACCCGGACTCAAATTGCAGGTACTGTTTCCTTTCAGGAATTTTAAACAATGTTGAAAAACTCGCTGAACTGGCTGTACCAGGCAAAAAGGTAAATATGTAAGGTTAATGAAATCTCTTCCTATGCTCCCTCTCCACTCCCCCATCCCACCCAATCCTTTCCTTGAAATATTTTGTATTTCTTCTGCCGGGTAAAAAAACGGGCAAAAATGCTGAATTTTTGTTGACATTTCATTATCTTTATCATTTGACATCTTAAAAAATTATTTCAGAACTTAAAAGGAGTTCAAAGTCAAAGGCACTACAGGACCTTCTTCAATTTTACCCATCCTTAATTTTGTCTCGTTTGTATTTTTTCACTCAAAATATCTTTTTAGGAATGATCTTGACTTTTAACTGAAAAGAAACAATGTCATTTTAAACTGTCTTTTAATTAGAAAAGGTCAGAAACGTTCCATGTATCTGGAACTTTTGGGAAGCGACACCCTTACATTCTCAAATTTAATGTTGGCTGTAACGCTGATATGGTTTGTTTGTTTTATGTAAAGTGTTTTGTACAATGTGCGACTAGAGCTGTGTGCATACAGGAGTACTGTAAAGTGGAGCTGCATTATTAATGTCATTTTTATTATAATTATAATAATAATAATTATTATTATAGCTTCTACATTATTGTTATTATTATTATTATTATTATTATTATTATATGATCTACATTATTATTATCATCATCGTTATCATCATCATTATTATTATTATTATGATGATTATTATTATTATTAATTTGCTTTTCTTTTGTCTCTAATTGTTAGCCAGTCGTGTCCCTTGGAGCGGAGATTGTAGAGTGTTTACGGTGGCGGAGAGGGGCTCTCTGTTACATGTACGGTTACACTCTGAATGAAGCACAGCCTGACCGGGGTTATCCAGACCACTACAAGCAGGTAATGCTTATGAATGTGTGTGTGTGTGTGTGTGTGTGTGTGTGTGTGTGTGTGTGTGTGTGTGTGTGTGTGTGTGTGTGAGAGAGAGAGGGAGAGAGAGAGAGAGAGAGAGAGAGAGAGAGAGAGAGAGAGAGAGAGAGAGAGAGAGAGAGAGAGAGAGAGAGAGAGGGAGGGAGGGAGGGAGGGAGGGAGGGAGAGAGAGAGAGAGAGGGAGAGAGGGAGAGAGAGAAAAAAGAGAGAGAAAAAGAGAAAGTTTATTTAATAAAAGAAAGAATATGTCTTTTGTGAAAGTCTGTGTGAGAAAGAATGTTTTTGAAAGATTGTTGTGTTTGAAAGTCTGTGTGAGAAAGAATGTGCTTGTGAAAGATTGAGGAAAAGAGAGTGTGTGTGAAAGAGAGAGAAAGAGTTTTTGTCAGTATATGTTCTTTAGAGCGGAGATTGTGGAGTGTTGAATTGGTGGAGAGGGGTGATCTGTGTGTGATAAAGTATTTATTGGTATGTGTGTTCTGTTATTGTTGCATCGATGTGCTTCTCATTATTAAAATTTAAAGAAAATCTTTTATATATCGAAACAAATTTCGTGCCTGAATTTGTCCTTTGAAATTATAAGGATGTGGTTCAGGGACATCCAAGCTCTTGACTATCAGTTTGCTTTTTTTGTCTCTAAATTAGTGTGGCCATGTTGATGTGTTTTTCTGGAACTAAGGAATAATTATTTTTGTTCATGAAAAGTCAGCGGTTTGCGTTTGTCTGGTGTGGGTTGTCCCTTCTTTCCAATCAAACATCTTTATTCCTTATCTTTCCTCCTCCCTTTTCTTTTGCTGCATTTTACTCTCTAGTAACACTTCCAATCTTTGGTACTTTATCTATTATCTATTTGTGGTGGTCGAATTTTGCTATTCAAAAGGCTTTTTAATGGCTGCATCGATCGACATGCGGTTTTCGCCAAAATATTCTTTAAAATATTCCCCAGATCATGGCACCCTTCGTTCTTTCAGTTTTGAGACAGTTTTGCTGCAAAAAGCTAAATTTCTTTATTTCGCCGATCGCATTTGTAGGTCGACGCTTCTGTCTCTGTAATTTTAGAAAATCCGGAAGTGATATTTCGCGAGGCGCATTTTGTTTTGAGAGTATAGATCTAGACCTTATAATTTTTTGTATCTCTCAAGATCTCAAGATTTATTGTCCCATTCCAGTAGACTGTAAATATATTAAGCTAATACTTTTAGTTGATATTAAAGCACCGATCGTTCCTTTCATCGAAAGGGGGCCCAGCTTGTATGATCTATTTGTGGTGTAATTGCAGTTTAACTCTTTCTAACACTAGAACAAAAATCTTTCATCAATCTCACTCAGTGCCTGGAGAATGGCGTGTCTGAGATACTGACTATGCTGAGCACCAGGGCGAACCCCAACTGGTTAAGAAGCCATGTAGCTCACAACACGGAGTCAGACAGAAGCCAAGAACAAGAAGTTGTCTGTAACGACAGGACTGCCGCTCGTCTGTTTCTTGAAGGTAAGGGTTTGATGCTGCAAGTTGTAGGCCTTGTGATGTGACTGGCTAACCCACGAAATATAAATTCTTAAAATTTTTATTTCGTGAGTCGATAGTAAATAATCCATTTCATAGGCTCGGTCAAAGACAGGTCGGAATGCTTGTGAAATGTTAGAAATAAATCCGAACTACCTGCTGGCTGCCTGCCAGGTTTCTGCATGGTGAAACTAAATAAGTTTTTTGCTTCTCCAGTAAAATTTACTCTGCTGTGGTCAGCTGATCTTATCACAAGGGCGATGATTTGTTCTTCTTCTTCTTCTCCTCATAGCCCTGTTAGAGCTCAGGGAGTGACTGACTGTAAGATCCTCTTCTCACAGTGCAGTTGATTTTATGTACATTACTGGTTTTGTTAAAAATATTTACATAGAATGCAGGTTCAATCCTTGCCTGACAGGGAGCCACTTGCTTTTTTTGAAGGTACTCTTTAAATTTGTACTGACTAGAGTAGCTTCAGTTGTGGGTTGGAATTAATATTTAAATTTTGCCCGTATGGCGGCCTGCTGGTCATTTTCTTTTTGCTCTAAGAACTGCCAAGAGATCTGTTAAAGTGTGAAACTTCCACAGGGGACCTCCAACAATTTTCGCCCTATCCCAAATGACTGGGTTCTCAGTTTTACCTATGCTAGGATCATGGGGGAAAGCGTAAGAAGGGAACACCAAAGATGACATGGAGGCGAGCGGTACAAGCGGAAATTGAAAAAGTGGGGACATCATGGAAACAGATAGAAAAGGATGCTAAGGACAGGCTTCGCTGGAGTAATGTTGTTGATGGCCTGTGCTCCACAGGGAGTTAAAAAGGGCAAGAGAGAGAGGATCATGGGGATTAGAAAACAAGAAGAAAGAAGGAAAAAAAAACAACCAACCCTTGTCGGGGATCAAAGTACAGACCTCCAGGCTGACAGACAAACACTATACCTGTTGAGTTACCGAATCCTCATGCTGCGTGTTGTTTTCATGTGTTAGATTTGATTTAAGACATCAGGAGTTATATTGTATTTGAGATGATAGTATTGTTTTTTTGGAGCACTTTGTTACTATCTTACTGAAGAAAGACAGCCTCCCTTGGTTATTCAGTGTCTGTGATACCTGATAATTTATTGTTTTAATTTTCTGTGAACCACGACCCAAACACTCCCGAACTTCTCCTCTCTGTGGGTGGTTGCAGGGTGCTCCCTTTCTTCCTTACTTTCCATCTGTTGTTTCTGACTGTCTAAACTTTTGTCCCAGCATGAATTGTCTGTTGTTGTTTTGCTGTGTTTCTCCTTATTTAACAACAAACTGATATAACAGTCACACAAGTGTGGGTAGATGGTAGGAGGGTGCCACTTCTTTATTCTCCCTCTACTGTTGTATCTGTTCTTCCCTCTATCCCCCCACCCCCCACCCAAAAAAACCCAACAAAAACCCTGACAAAAACAGCGAACAAAACAAAACACCCCCCCAAAAAAACAACAACAAACCAGCAACCAAAAATTAACTAAAAAAACACTACAACCTCCCCCCCTAAAAACCCCCCCAAAAAACCAACCCCTAACCCCCCCCCCCCCAACAAAAAACCCCAACAAAACAACAACAACAACAAAAACACAACTAAACCCTCCTCTTGTCACAGGTATCCTGAGCGACACCCACATGCTTGCCCTGATGTACTGTGGCGAGCTCTGCTACTGGCATGCCCAGGCCGTGGAGAAAAAGATCTTCCCCAAGTCCAGCAGCCCAGGCCAAAGCCCGGACACCTCTGCCTTATCTGTGTCGGATTTCCTGGCAAGGATAAATGGTGAAGTGGCTGAGGACAGCCCGTCAAAGTGCGTCTCTTCGTCAGAAAAGAGTGGGAAAAATTCAGAGTCTGATAGAACGGAGTCTTCAGAGGGGAAATCCTCGTGTGAATCTGAGAACTCCACAGGTCAGAAGTCAGATGTCAAAGGTCAGAGGACTCGGCAGGGTCAGGTTTACATCGATATTGGTCTGCTTTGTTTAAAGAAATATGTCGAGATTGCTCAAGGTCCTTTGTCTATTGGAGGATGGACCACAGATCAAGCCAAGAAAATTCTTCAGTATTTTTCAGATTCATGATATAATGTGTAAGCGTGTGTTTTAGGTTGGAAGTTTTGCATGTCTGGTGTGTGAATTGAAAATCACAATTGCCTCTTTCTTCTTGTGGGTATCTTATGCATGGAGCCTGTATGTGTGTGTTGGTTTGTATGTGTGTGTCTTTGTTGCTGTCTGTGTGTTTGCATGTGTGGGAGAGGGGGAGGTGACGAGAGAGAGAGAGGGAGTGGGAGATTCTTTGTTCTGTGAAAATTTCCTTCTGTGATGGAGAGAATGAAAGAGAAATTCACTGAATGCATGACGAATGAGGCTGAAAAAGATTAAAAGAATTTAATATAATTGAGAAGCTGATGCCAATGGGTTTTTTTATCATTTGGCAATAAGCATGCCTATCAACTTGCCTGACTTTTTATGTTACTCTATAGTAGTACTGGACCTATAGTCTATAGTGGCCTCAAGTTTGTGACTTTTATACTTAAAAAAAAATCCTGTAACTTTTTTGTTGTTGTGGTAAAGTGTTTTACGGCGCTCGCAACTGCATAAAGGTCATATGAGCGCGCGGGACACACCTAATATTTTCAGTTGGTAAGAAATTTTGAATTTTGCCCGGATGGCGGCCGAAGCCTACTCTTATCGATTTTAGACCACCAAGGGATCTTTAACGTGCGCAACTTGCACACGGGCCCTCCGAGATTTTTCGCCCTTGTCCGAGAAGGCTAGGTGTAGATCTTTCCTACCAGAAGATCAGGGGTGAGGCAGAAAGACAGCTGTAAGAAGGAGTCAAGGAGTACCAGTAGAAAGGCTGCAGAAAGAGTCAGGAGCCCAGAGGAGGGGGCAAAGGAGGTGAGGGGGTGGGGGCAGAAAGAGGAGACGAAAGCAGACGACAGAATATTGCTAGAGAGCAGGAAAGGAGGTGAAAGGAGACAATTTTAGAGAAGAAAATTTTTCGGTCGCTACCCGGATTTGAACCCGGGACCTTTGAATATGAGGCCAACGCCTTAACCTCTAGGCCACAAGAGCCCCCAATCTTGTCACTAAATCCTTTGAAAGTGATATGTTTCTTTATTAGTAGATGTTACAGGCTCTCAGCAAATTTTAGCGCTCTGAATTTCATTACATTGTTAGCAAATTTTGTTTGATTTTGCCCTTATGGCAAATTCTATTATAGAATCTAATTTTAGTAGCACTTTTACATTATTGGCTTGAAATCAATAATGTTGGGATCAGTAACCTTATAGAGCATAATTAGCAGCAATTTACAGTCTAAACTCGTACACTGTGAAACACACACACTGTGAACACATTTTCAGATCCTGAATTTTTTCTTATACAAGTATATGCGAGGCAGCGTGGTGGAATCAGGCTCTCGTCAATTTTTGGGCATGTAGAGTTATTGGTATCATCTTGAAGTTTTTTCACTTGTCTTTATTTGGATGAAAGAAATATCCATTAATCTTGAATAAAAGTCGAGATATTTGCGAATGAAAGACGTGGGGTTACCTGTTTTCAGAGGTAAAATTAGTGAGAAAATGGCCGCCAAAGATTAGTTATTTCCTTAGCTTAAGAGTCAGTGGTAACAGAAAATTAACATTTTTTTGTGCTTTTAATCGTTTTTCAGAAAAATCCACACAGAATTAGTTCTTTAATGGGCATGAAAGGTGTTGAGCCAAAAAACAAAAATTTGATAAAAATTCACAAACCTGTGGAAAAATGTAAGTTTCTTCACTTTGATAATTTTGACGAGAGCCTGATTTCACCACGCTGCCTCACATATTCTATGTATCTAAAATAAGCTCATACCAAAATTTGTACATGATGAAAAGATTTCCATGTTCTGCTGATTTTGCTATATGAGTGCTAAACTGTATGTTGTATCTGGAGGGCTACAAAAGTTTTACTGTATTAGAAAATGATACATCTTGTGTTTTATTTATCAATGTTGTAACTTTTTTTGTTTTAAATATAAAGGATTGGTTTATAAAACCTGCAGCTGGCCACATTGATATGTTATTTTAACTGTTTCAATGGCTTCAAGATCAAAGGTATATTTTAGTATTAGTCGATCCATTGGAGGAAGGGCCTGTGCTTTTCCTGAATATTCTATTTCTATCTGTCTTTCATCGTAAGGGATTAAAAGGTTTCTATCTGCATTTTGTGAGTGTTTCTAATTACGATTTGTTGTGGGTTCTCTGTGCAACAAACTATATGATGATCCGCTTTTTGTTCTGAAATGATCTTTTCTGCTGAGAGTAAAACACGCATTAAAAAAGGTTCTATCTGCTTTTGCATTTTAAATGAATAAACTTTGATGTCCAATATCTCAAAAGTACAAAAAATGCAAATAGAACTCTTTAAATTAATCACGTACCATACTTTATCATTTTATCTGTGCCATCCGCAATGTTCCATACGCAAAGAGCTGCTTGGCTCAGAAAACCATTTCACCTGTCTAAAGTTTAATCTTTAATACTTCTCCTGTAGCAACTCCGTAAGATGACGTTAAAGAGACTGCAAAACTCAGTTTTGTTAGCTATAATTATATGTGTGAACATACTGCATGGAAACGGAGCCTTTAGCAAAGCATTTTCTGTAACCAATTTAGGTTTACAGTGTGACACACAGGAGAAGTGTTGGAGTGGTTTCAGAAAAGTCATGACCATAAAATGTGGTACAGCCTTCTCATAACTTCTGACAAAAATTGTGGACTTGCTTTTTTTTTGTTGGATGTACTAAGTTTTTACTGATTTCAACAAGATAATTTTTAGATATTGTAGCTGAAATGTTAAGTTGATAATGAGTCTCGTGTGAAAAAAAAAATTACATGAGGCTCACATATGTCCATATGTGCACAAACTCTCTTCAGTTTGTCTTAAATGGCAAAGTATTTTGACTGTCATGGTCTGAAGTATTTAAAACTTGACGAACAATCTTTTATTTTGTTCTTGTTGTATGTGTACTTATATATTGTAAGTAGCAATGATTGTACATAACAAGATAGTTCACTCGACCAAAAAAGTGTCCGCGGAAGTCCGCGCATTGGATCAGATGTTGCTGCAGTCTTTGTTCTGAAGCTCTCTTTCGTTTCTCCAGAAGAAGAATAGGAATAGCACCCCCTTGTGTATCATCTGCTCCGGTTCGCTCTGTGCGGAGTTTTGGGTGTATTTTATTTTAATGACCTCTCGCCTCTCGTTCTAAAGCCAAATTAAACGAAGAAAACTGTTGCCTCTTCCACCTGAAGAGGATTTTTGTCAGCGTAACCATTTAAAAAGGTGTTATTCCAAAAATTTAATTAGCCTATAACTTATACTTATACAAAAACTTGTTAGTTTTACTTTGATTTTTTCCTCTCAAGTAGGGTAATTCTGTTCGCAAAGAGGGCGCCATCAGATTTTGAGGACACTTTTTTAATTGGTTCAAAGAGAGGAGTGAACCATCTTGTTATACAGAATCTTTGTGAGTAGATAAAAAATTACCATTACAGTTTTCAGTAGCTTAGTACCAGATTTAGTGCCTTGAGCAACATTGTTGCACAAGTTTGTTTTTTAAACTATTTTTCTTGTTTTCTCAAACTTACATGACAGAAACAGGACTGTACAGAACAGGACTCTTTATTTGTCTTAAAATATGAATAATTGTAGATTTAATAATTTTTTCATGAGAAAATTTCAACTTCCTGAAAGTATTGTTTAAGTGAGAAAATAATTTATTTTATTGATTTATCTTTTATTGAAGCAGCCTCACATAGTGCCCGTTGTTATAAAAATAAACTGCTTATTCATGAAGCTGAAGAGTTGTTGAGATGTTGTGTTCATCTTTTGGTGTTGGTGCTTCCTTCTGTTGTTTGATATTGAAGTTGAAGCCCTATCACTATCAGACACAGATTTGCCATTTGGGTTGAGACACAGGTTTGCCATTTGGGTTTTGTGCTGAGAGAGATTTCGTAAGGAAAGGACCAAGAAAATGTGAACATCGCTCAAATCTTAATGTCAAACTTCCTGGGGGTGATTAAAGATGTACATACATGTAGTTGACAGCTTACACCCACTGACATGTTTGCATGCCTTCCCTTTTGGATGGCAAAATACACATATGTTTACGAATGGAATATCTGCAGTATTGTTTAGCTTGAACACCCCTCACAACCCTGTATGGTTATACGTAAGAAGCAGGACCTCTAGATGTAATGTTGATTGGACCAAGTCAAAGGGGAAAATTTGTGTAAAGTGCCGTTCTTGAGACTACGAGTCTGGTAGTTTAGCCACAAGACAAACGATTCCTCCTTGGTATGTTAGCTTCTTCAGAGAAAATGTTATTTTTGTGATGCAACAACAATCTGGTTTTTCTTTCATGTATGAGTATGTGTATGGAAAATCTGACTCGGTAAAAGTGCACAGGATTTGTGATAAATCAAAATTACAATTTGTTAAAATAATTAATTGTATCCATATTCTCAAATTCTAGGGAAGAAAAATACAAACAACAGGGAACACTGCTTTTTTCATTGTTGATTCACAAGAAAGAGAGTTTATTTCAACATCTGTCATGTATAATTACAGAAAAGACCTTGTATGAATTTAGAACCTGTGAACAAAGGCTATGAAGCAACCTCAGCTTAAGTGAGGAAATATCCCACCTTTTTTCTGAACAAAGAAAAATAATGGAGAACGATAAATTATGATAGTTTTTACCATCAAATACTATTTTCTAGTTAAGTGTTACAGATAATATTTTGTAGACTGTTATGTTTGTCAAGTTGCCTACAAAAAGTTCCAGCAAATAACAAAGGACAGGAAGTGAGTTACATGACAATATTATGCTGATTTCAATGGAGGACCAAAGTACCAGTCCAGGAGTAATAATGAAAAAATTAAAACAAAGTATGAAAAAATAAGAAATCTTTAAACAATGCCAACTTTTTCAAAAGACAACATTATCGGGCACATATAACCAAATATCACAGGTAGATTCATGGCTGCCCCAATATGAGGTTCCCAAATGTATGGCCTGTACCTCTGTAGTAAAAACGTCCCACAAATTATCACCATACCTATTGGCACTCTGTTTTTTCAGTATGTTCCGACCTTCCATACTCAACAAAGCCTCCAATTACTCCACAAGTTGTTACTTTGATAAAAGTTTGTGAATCTTTCACCGACTTTGGTCTCATGAAGGACAGTGATGACTAAATAAATTTGAACAGATTTTCAAATTATGTTCGATACAAAAATAGGAAGCTGAAATATTCTTTTTTTATCCCCTAGTTCCTAGATGGCTCCGAATTTTTAACGAACACCAGCCGGTCCACTCTATCAAGAAACCTTTGACTTTGAGTATTACATTTGTGTGACCTGCTCCACTCTTGCAAAATTTCTCTTTTGTTTCCTGTTCTGTCATTTGACTTTGTAAAGAATATGTATCAGTTTACTGCTAATTCTCAAAAACAATATAAAATAAATTCATTTTAAGAAATAATAAAAAAAATAGTGAAACAGAGTTCACTTCGTCAAGTTTTATTTGTCAGGCTCTCTGATAAGACAATGAGGGGGCTGGGCTTTTAAAATAAGGCTGCAGGCAAAATCCAGGCTTTGTCATCAATGCAATGCTTTAACTCTCCTGACTTTTATAACATATACAGGT